CCAGTACAAGTGAGGGATTGGATTTACGGAACGAGAATCAAGTTCTAAATAACAAAACAAAAAACAAAGATTCTAAGGAAGATTCCATAAATATACTTTTAAGCAAGACCTTCTCCTTATTTGAATAACACTTGCTACAAGATTGTGACATTTCCGAAGGAATGTGCTCGCCAAGATTTTCTAGAAATATTTGTGGCATAAACATGTACATTTCAGAGCCAAATCTCAGAGCAGCGGAGGAACAGCCACACCCCAGAGCAGCAGGGGAACAGCCAAATCTCAGAGCAGCAGGGGAACAGTCACACCCCACAGCAGCGGAGGAACAGCCACACCCCACAGCAGCAGAGGAACAGCCACATCCTAGAGCAGCGGAGTCCAAAGCACTGGGGTAAAAAGGAGGTTGGGCAGACATGTGAATGGCTACAGCCTGAAAAGGAGAAAGATAACCTGGATGTGAGCACAGTCCAAGCCTTACAGACTACCGACAATAACCCTGCCCATTTTGCTGTCCTGTGTGCTAGAAGAATGTTTTCTGGACCTACAGTAGTCAGCAGAAATGTAAGGGGAAACAAGGGAAACTGCGGCTAGACGAAAGCAAAGTAGAGAAGATCCCAGATTATGCGAGAAGGCATTACGGCTTGGACAAAAAAGCTTTCGAATCAACCTGGCGTAACTGTAGAAGCCGTATCGACTCATGGGGCAGGCACCTTAAACAAATGGGTGTTCCTGCGGAGGAAACTGAGCTGTGACATGCACAGCAGTAATATTTATGGGTGAAACCATATTGCTTTTTCTGATGTTTCTTCTCCTCCTCCTGCCATATCTTTAAATGGATTCAGCTTCTTCATTTTAGGGCCTAAGGTCCTAAAATTTGGTATGGAGGTACAGTGGGCAAATACCCCTAGGCGTTTTTTAAATGTTTGTGATACAGGCTTTTAGAATGGTTTTATTTGAGTTTTTTGGCTGTATTATAGCTAATGTATTACTGTGTTAGTGTGCCATGTTTACCACGTCTGGGCATGAGTCATCACAATGGAATGCAGGGCATCAACCAATAGGCATGCAGCTTTCCTCTATACTTCTTGCTGATTGGCTGTTGGAATTTAATTTGATTAACACCTGCACACTGAGCATTTCCACCTGCACAGAGCATTTCTTGCTGATTGGCTGTTGGGATTTAACTTGATTAACACCTGCACAGAGTATTTCCATACTGACAGTATGTCTTTATTCAAGTGTTTTGGTAGGTATTTCAAGCTTTTCTGCTCCAGCATTGGAATGCGGGGCATGAACGTTTTTTTTTTATTTTGAAAATCAACAGTTTGCATTATGCAATTAAAAATCCTAACCAATAAAGTAGGGAATAGCTACCCAACTGTTGTTTTAGTTGTATGTTACTTCATATTATAGTTATATCAATGTAAATCATTGTTTTCCCTTGTGTTTCTCATTCTTTCCCTGCCATGTGGTAAAATGTGGTGAACCCATCGCTGTATTTGCTCCAAAGCAAATATTGGCCTTTCTAGTTACAATTAGCCTTCTGTCATGTATTTGTAATAATAATAAACTTATCATCATTATTATTTCAGCCTACGTCCTGTTCCCTATTTACAAAAATGTAATAAGGTAGTGAGATGAGCGCAGCAAAGTCCTTTGTAACTAAAGCTGTCAAAAAGACTCGAAGTTTACTTGCAGTCTGCAGAGGATGTCATTGATTAAAGTTACATGCTGTGGCCTAATTGCAAACATGGTAAGAGTGTGTGCTGAGTGAATCATTGGTACTGTGGTATGTAACTATATATATCCTAGTATCTCCTATACATGGCACTACAAGACTAGTCTATGGTAATGATCTTTGAGTGGCATACGGGTAGACTTGGCCTTACAACGGCAAAACATTCAAATTCCCCCGTTATAACGTTGATGTTACTCACAGCACATAAAAGTCAGTAATATAAGCAAACTATCCTTCTACCTTTCCTTTCCTAATAAAGGTATAACGTTAAATCGTAGGCAAGACCATCCTGAGGTAAACATATTGCATTTGCTTGCAAATGTTACCTTTCTAGTTGTGTTGATAAACCAAGATGCGTTTCAAGTACAATTTACAGTCATTAGATTTAGAGATACAGTAAACTACAACTATATATAGCCTTTTGTAGCCAAAACTATGCAAAGGCGCGGTTCTGGATAGTCCACGCTTTCATCCAAGAACCTTGCCTTTGGCAACTTTCTTGGATACACGGAGGCTATCCAGAACCGTGCCTGATCCTAACCCTACATGTAGCCCATTCAGGCACATATAGGCTAGATAGCTAAGGTTCTGGATACGACCGAGCCCCTAACAGCTTCTGCTGTGCTTACCCCTGTGATGTCTGCATGTCCCAGACCTTGATGTTGTCTATGAAGAGTGACTCCATCTTGCCCTTCCCGGAGCCGTTGTGCCAGACCTGTACAGACTGGAGCTGGCCGATGGAGGAGGGAGTCGACATGATGTGGTACGTGTCACCGCCTCTGGCTAGGACCTAAGGACATTTATTATCAGGGGTGGTATGATTATAGTAATATCATGTATCGCTTATGTTTGCTTAATACGTGTGAAAGCTACTCTAGCTGAAATGTTTGAAACGATGTTTCGTCGTATGTGGGAGTTTAATCTTTCGTGTAATCCTCTAGGGCGCCGCTGTAAAGCAGTTCGTAGCCACTGAGAGTGTCACCCTGGTTACAGAAAACAGAATAAAAAATGTACTACAAAGTAAGTTCTTTCATAAACGTCCTTGTCGCTTAACCATAGTACCAAATTTGGCAATTTTACTGATACCAAATGCTTCAACGCGTGTTTACCATAAGATACCGCACACGTGCTTCTTACCAAGCCATCAGGGTTGAGTGTGACCATGGGTGTCCTGCCCTCAGACCCTGTGATCATGAACCCGACCACAGACGCCGTGCCGGCATCAGGCTGTGTTCCCGTACGGACACACACCACGTACACGTACTCCGCATCGGGAACTTCCGACGGGATGGTAGAGACTTTTGGAACAGCCGCCGAGCCAGCGTTTGCGTTTGCTAGACTTGCTGCATGTCCAAGATTAAAGCTATCGGCCACTGTGAAATTCAATGAAATGTTGCTCTGAAAATACAAAAAGTCAATAATTATGTTTACCTTCGCAGAAGGAAAATGTTTGCCTTCGTTGTTGCTCTGTTTCTTCATCTTCTTCTTCTCAAGACAAAAAAGTCAATGACCTATAGACTAGACGTCACCATTCTTACTAGCATTGTTGCAGACAGATGTTGTTACATTATCTAGCAGGGCAGAGTTGAGGGGCTGCTCAAATATTATAAAGGAATGCGTTTGAGTAGAGCGTTAGTTTGTTATACTAGACCAATTGTGAGGGTAAACATTATATATTTGCTTTGCAAATGTTATCTTTCTAGTTTAACATTGGCTTTCAATAAACATTTAATAGCTCATAAAGATAATCACACAGAAAAATCAAATTATGTACTAACCGTTTCGAGCAGAAATGCGTAGGAGCGTCATAAATATTGCTAGAAGGCTTAGAATATAAAAACGGATAACAAAAAATACTAGATGAATGTAAATCTTGACATACCTTGATATTTGATCTGAATATCAATAGTTGGGACAACAGGAAGATCATCCACAATGCTAAAATCGTTCCAAACACGGTCGAATTCGTGGGCAACTTGTCGATGTTTCTACCGAATCTGTCGAAATCCACGAAATTTGGAACCGCCAGAAACGACGTTGCCAGAATCACCCGGGATGTTTTCCCATCGCTGTGTCGTGTCATGTCACATGTGCACCGGGTGGTCACCTCGTTCGTTTCTATTCCAACCTGTAGTAAAGATAGTGCAGAATAATATTTCCTCCGTAGAAGAGGTTTATCAGTCACCGAGAATTATCAGTTAGTAGTATATTCCTCAATCAGTGCCTTTTTTTAAAGGTAAAAACACGTACCTCCAAATTCTCGATGTCTACTGTACATCTTGATCACGGAGTGACCTAGTCTCGCGAGAACACGACCTAGTCTCTCTACCTAGTCTCGTGTTCTCGAGAGACTAAGTCACTCCGTGATCAAGGTGCATAGTAGACATCGAAAATTTGGAGGTACGTGTTTTTACCTTAAAAAGGGGCACTGATTGATGAATATACTACTAACTAATATTCCTCCATTTTCAAAAAAAGCAACAAATTAAACATTAAAAAAATGATGCCCAAATTCGAATTCGTTATCTTGGGAAGTTTTATTACAAAGAAGTTTTAAAAAGATTTATCAAAATCAACCTCAATATGAGACCGAGAAAGTCACTGATGAAAAACAGCCGATGCTATCTAAAACGTTTGGCTTGACTCCTCTGAAATACTCATTTGTTCAACCTTCATGGCCATGTTTTTTAAGTAACTTTTTTATTCGCACGATGTCATCAGTTTTGGGTTTCCCCAGACAATATCATCTATATTATCAAATCAACATGGTCTTTGTCCAACCTTGCAGCGGTTGTTATCCCAGGTTTGGTTGTCCATTTCCCACATCAGGCAGGAGACGGCGGCAGTCTGCAGGATGAAGCCCGCAGGGCTGCTGTCATGTCCCGGGTGGGTCTCTGGGACCTGAGCCTCTGACATCAGGAGTCGTCTCGCACCGATGTGAAGTAGATCTCCTCCTAGTACACAAACATGTGGAAAAAAATCAGCAATATCATTCCTGTATCATTTTTATTCACGTACTAGATGTTATCAAACTTACAGCTTCTTGTAACTCAAGTAGCTTAAAGATAACTTGCGTCCTCTCTTATTTCTAAATCTGAGACGACGACTAAGCAACCGCAGACTTTTTGAAGACAGGTAAATCCACTGTACAAAATCACCTTAACCCTACCTAGACCGGGCTTTTTTTGACATGGGGGGACCGGGGGGGGGCTCTTTTCACCCCCCCCTAAGAACTCGCGAACGGTATGTCGTATGACCACCAAATTTTCAGAGAATGGTGTACTAGTGAAAATTTATCATATCTACAATTTTTATGTCGTTATGACGTAATATGACGTCATTATGAAGTCATTAATATGATTTATTGGCCAAAACCGTCTAAATAGGTTTTTCCCTGAAAACCTCCCTGGTATACAACATAACTTTACCAAAAGTGTTTATGACAGAATATTAGTGTGTACTAAGTCTTATGTTGCCCATAGCAACACCGGTGACGTCATAAAATGACGTCATGCATATTTAAGATATCCGCCATCTTGGATCATCAATCTTGAATTTTCAAAAATAGTTTTTTTTCATGATAAAGCCTAAAATACATTGTAAACATACTAAACACCTTCATTCAAACCTTTTTTGTAAAAAGAAATGGAAGCATTGATGAAATTTTAATGTAAATAACCCGTATATACCTGTTCTAATGATATGGTCCGCCATCTTGGATTTTGGCCAATGACGTCATCAAATTAGCATAAATTATGCATATTTAATGATAAAATTTACATAAAATTATATGGGATGTTATTAATATTAGAAACCATGAGTAACTTGACATAAAACCCATAAAATTCTATTGTTGAAACAAAAAGTACTAAATTTAGCAAAAAATGCCTGTCAGAAACCCGTTGCCATGGCAACACAAAAAATTATTATCTTATTCCAATGATGGAGAATTGTTGCCAACAATATTTTAGGAAAAGTCACCAAGTTTGGTCGTTCTACGGCTAGCCGTTCAGACGCTAGGTGACATCAAAGTTGCCGCGGGCACTTTTAGCCCCCCCCCCCCGGTCTAGGTAGGGTTAAACGTGCTCACGTGGTACACGTGAAGGAGAAACGGAAGATTTACGCATACTTCAAGTCGTGATTAAAATGGATGTTTTGTAGTAAGCGTAGTGACCATGTGATGTTTACCTCTCCTCTTTACACCAACTATGACCCAGCCGCGTTCCTCTCCGATCTCCGGAACAAACGAAACATTGAAGTTAGAGTACACCAGGCCGTACGGCATGTCAAAGCCGTCATAATCAGTGACTTCAGGAGGCTTAACAGTTGTCCTGTAGTCGTAGCGTTCCTCCGTTGGAAAGTCATGGAACCGGAGGTATACCTGTAGCTCCGTGTCGACGTCATTGACTGAGAATCGTAGCAGTGGCATCTGACCTTCATCAGCAACGTACATGGCGTGATACTTCATGTTGGTGTGAAGTCTGGGAACCTTGTCCAGTGGGAATGATCTGCCTGCATCATCGAGGTTCTGCCTGTACGATGTCGGCAGGGTGTCGTGATACTGTTGTTCTGTGTCACTTGTGATTCCAAACTGTACGGCAGACCTCAGACCAACAGTGATGTTTGGCTGCAGTGTTGGTGCGGCGGTGTTAGTGGACTGGCCTCCATGGTCGTCCGTATCCTTCGTGATTGTCACCATCACTACCGAAGAGGATATTTCAGCTTTCTTTTTACTCCACACGAATGGATCATCGTCAAAAACGACAACCTATAGGAGCCAAGAAATAACGTTACAGTTTATTGGTCTTCATGTAAACTAGCCACATTATTAATGTTGAAAACAACTAAAATGCAGACTTTGAGGCCTTATAAACACTATAAGGAAAACATCTCCTGTCAGGATGTTAGTGGCTTAATTAACTGCAAACATTGTGCCAACATCATAAATCAATTATCACTACTTTTTTGCACATAGTCGTACTGTTGTCTCTATTAAAAGTGTCTTAAACAGAGAGTATACTTTATCAGTCTCTCATCATGCGTTCATCACGGCTGACTGTTGTAGACCAAGCTAAGCAGTGACAGTTTACAGTGGCCGAATTCATTGGGTGATTTTATAGTGTATCTGAAGACAAAATTGAAAATTTGGTACAACCATCACGTACAACTTTGTTATAATGGAGCGTC